ATTGTACATAGAGTTCCTGTATACATGTTGCCCTGTTTCCCCTAACATTACGTGACCATAGTACAATGATCAGAACCAGGAAATTAATATTGATACAGTGCCATTAACTAATTTGTACACTTTATTTGAATTAAATTATTTTTCCCATCAATGTCTTTTTTCTCTTCAAAATCCATTGCATTTAGTTATCATATCTCCTTAGTCTCTTCCTATCTGGGACAGCTTCTCAGTCTCCTTTGTTCTTCCTGATCTTGATATATTTTTTAAAGATTTACTTATTTTTAGAGAGAGAGAGAGTGCACACAAGTAGGAGGGGCAGAGGGAGAAGGAGAGAGAATCTCAAGCAGACTCCACACTGAGCATGGAGCCCAATGCAGGGCTCGATCTGATGACCCTGAGATCATGACTTGAGCTGAAACCAAGAGTGGGATGCTTAATTGACTGCACCACCCAGGCGCCCCCATGATCTTGATATTTTTAAAGAATACTAGCCAGTTATTTTGTAGAATGGCCCTCCATTTGGATTGTTCTGGTGTTTTCTCATGATGACATTGAGGTTATGTATTTTGGGCAGGATTGGTGTAGAATAATTTTGTGCCCTTTTCAGCCTTCATACCAGGGTACATGATATCAGTATGTCTTATTATGGGCACTGCTAACTTTGATCATATATTTAAAGTGGTGCATGCTAGGCTTCTCCACTACAAAATTATTGTTTTTGTCTTTGTAGTTAACTAATATCTTATTGAGAGCGATACTTTGAGCCTAGGCAAATATCTTGTTTTTCATTATACTTTCATGTACTAATTTTAGCATACACTGGTGATTCTTGTCAATGTCATTATTACTTTTTTGTTTGCTTAATGGTGATTTTCTATTTCCATCATCCCTTCTATGCTTATTAATTATAATTTTACTGTAAGGAGAAGCTAACCCTCTCCATTTGTTTATTGATTCAACTATTTATATCACTATGGATTTATAGATATTAATTTTATTCCATGTATTAAAATTCATCATCACTATTCATTTCTGTTGCTCATATTATCCAGATTTGGTCATTAAAAGCTCCTTCAAATTGGCCCCTGAGGTTTTTTTGACATAGCTCTATCACTTTATGAACACTTCTTACCTTCTGGTACCACAAGATATTCTAGACTCATCTTTTATTTTCTTTGCCCCAGACTTTGAATCAACTGTTTCTCCAAGGTGCCCTGGTTTCCCTTTATTGGATAATGATATTTAGAAACCAAGATTTATATACTAGGTGTGCTCAGTGCTACTGGGATGTCTTTCTTGTAGACTCTCCCTAAAGACAGAGCTAGGAAATATATGTATACTCATTGACACATATACACATTTATTTCTATATATACCTCTCTGTGTGTATGTGTTAATATCTATGAGTAAATACCTCAAATTTTAATTAAACATTGTAGGCATTTCTTAAGGGAGTCCTTGTAATCATTAAAGAAAAACATTGGAGATAAGCTTTCTCTTTGGCTTAGAAATAATCTAACATTAAAATTCTCTTCATTCTTGACATTTTAATTTCCAGCACTCCTGATGAGTTTCTGATTCATAAAATCTCTCCTCTAAGTAGAATACTACAAGAAGTGGATTTCTCAAGACAAAAACCATTCCAAAATGATTTCATAGGGCTATCCAGTGCATCCTGATGGGTACTCATGCCTCTCTAATTCTCAGATGGAATAAGAATGCCCTGTATTAGGGTTGCAAGTGGTAGCTGCTCTTAAGTGGTCCAGCATTTTAGTAGATGTGTCTCTATCTTTAGATCATTAGTCTGACCTGTGTGCTCCTGGGATTTAAACTAGGGCATACTGGGTAGGTTATTTTTTAACCTTCCCAGAAAAGTATGTAAATGTGTTTAGAATCTCTCTGTTTCCCAGAACTCTGAATATGAAGAGATCTGAGCTTCCTAACAATCACAACAATTTCTCAGTGGCTTTCAAATCTTTGAGCTAGAAAGTATATAAGAAGACATGACATACAAAAACTCTATCAAAAGACAGCGGTGACTAGGTTTGAAATAATCTTTGCGTGTGAGGCAGGGAACTGCCTCAAGGACAACTTATAACCTATGATTCAGCTGATTTTTACCTGAAACATATCTGTGTTTCAAAGATCTGGTTCTGCCCTTTGGGCCAAAGCTAAAGAAGGATTATAGTTGTGTTCCAGAAGACATGTATTAGTGGTCATTTCTAAGATTGCTAGCCTCAGCATCATCCAGGATAGGGGGTCAGGAGATGGCTTTTGTGGAATGGAGGAGTTAAAATAATCAAAGTAGTAGTATAAAGTTGATTTTGTCTTTGTTTGATAGACATTGTGTACCTGGTGGGTGCCAGGCACTGTGCTTGGTAGGTGAGGGTTTTAGAAAGGAAGGGGAGCTTTAAGGGAGGTTTTAGGAGTAGGATCTCATAATTCAGAAGTGAAGTGAGTGGAGCTAAGCCTGAGGGTTTCAATAACGGAGAGAAGTAAATGACAATTTCTAGCAATGAGATGGAAAAAGGAAAGGGAAAATTTTTGAGATAAGGAATTCAGAAAGGGGCAACTGAGGATAATGTAAATTTCTGACCTGAGAAGGTGGTAGTGTTGGTTTCAAACATAAAATGGTGGGAAGCTACTCAGCCAGAGCTATTATTTAATCAGTACATAACATAGAATCAAAACTGACTTTTCCAATAAGCTTCCCTTGATGAATGCTTCATATTATAGAGTGTAGACTTCATTGTCTGCTCATCCCCTAAGAACTTATCAACACACTTTATTGTATGTTATTTGGTATCACTTTGCTTTGTAAAATCATGTCATTTTTAGCTTGTAATTATTTATTCTGCATCTACATCACATGGATCTATTAATATCTTCTTCCAACACACAGAAAACCTTGCACCTTGCTGTGAACACAGTAGTTGAACAAAAACATGTGATATGAATGTTGAATGAAGATTAGAATAATTCATTGGTTTATGCTATTAAAAGTCAAAAGTGAAACCAAAAGTTGATTCATAGTTAAAAATCTGGTTTTCTTACTCATAAATGTAGAGTTTTACCATAAGGCTGATTAAAAACCAATCTTCTGGTAGCTAGACTTACTGTGGTGATCCTTTTGCCATGTATACAAATATGGAATCATGTTGTATGCCTGAAATGAATAGAATGTTGTATGTTAATTATACCTCAATAAAAATAATAATAACAAAAAATAAACAGAAGACACAAGACAAATAAATATAAATATATAACCAGTGGGAGAATATAAACAATAATTTAAAGATTTTGAAGGTCAAAGTATATAAGGTGGTGTTGAATACTTTGGCAAATAGGAAAGAAAACTTTGCAGGTAGCGTTTGAGTTATTCAGAGAGCAGGAGTGGAGTGAGACAAGCAAGGTAGGAGGAGTTGGGCCCTCGGTATCATAAGGATACAGATGGGGTTTGGCAGCCATGAAGGGCAGGCTGGCTGAGAATACCAAAGGCAGTGACCATCAGTGGATTCTGATATAGAGGTTAAGTGCTAACCCTGGTAGGCAGCTAGAACCTTGTCAAAATAGTGAGCATGGAATGGCTATCACATGCAGTCTAAGAAAAACAGGTAAAATGCTGACATATGAACATGTTAGAGAAGCACAATGTACATAAAATCTAGACAAACAGCTCTGAAACTCCATGGTTCTATGATTCTGTATCTGGGAAAATGTAAACCCCATCGACAGTGCATCTCCTAATAGAGAAATTTATGGGAGAATAAATGGGGTAAGAAAGAGAAGCAAAAACAATCTTTTGAAATGTCACCAAACTAAAATCCTTAACAGATACAACACAATGAGGTATATCATTAAAATATATTCTTAACAGAATAAAAGCCTAGGATCCAAACATTGGTTGAAATCAAAGATGCTCTACCAGGGAGGCAGTGAATTAGGAGCTAGTCTCATCTTAAATTTGCTATCAGTGTTTCTTTGTTGAAGCCCAGAAGCCAGAGCAAATTGAGCTGATGGTGCAAGTTAGCACCATGGTTTTACACAAGATTCCAGAAAAGTAGGATTCTTAAGTGAGGAGAGCTTTTTGAGTATAAACTTAAATATCCACTTTTGCCATAAGAGCGTTTCCACCATGTTACAAAGAGCACCATGGCTGAAGATGTGTTGCAGCTCTGAACTTTTCCATTCTTTTTCTCTATTTCTTTACCAGGTGAAAGCTTTATGTTGAAATATATTGGGTCCTATCTTTAGCAAGTCGAATAGCTGTGTTTGAACTTATTTTTATCACACAGAGATGCTAAACCATTGTAATCGGACTTATGCCCCTTGCACAAAATAGGTAGCAATTGTATTTTGAATAACTTGCTGTAAACAAGAGGAGTTTTGTCTTGTATATCAAAGGTTTTGTAAGAGGCATTCTTCAGAACAGTATCCATTCCTGCTGGTTAGGGAATCCAAGGCAGGGCTTGCTGTTGGCTGATTGTGGCTGAGGTCACCTCGTAGTTGGGGCGGGCATGGTTTGTTCTTCCGAGCAAGTCAGAAAATGGACTGATTTTTGCAACTTGCTCAAGTCTATTTGAAAAATGAAGTTGGACTATGGGAAGTCTTGTTTTGGTATGAAAACTTTGTCTGATTCTATTTACTTCTTGCTTGCATGGGAACTCTTAGCAATGCTTGGAGCATCTCACCTGCTGACTTGGATTGTGGGGCAGGAGACCATTTTAATGTGGAATGTTCTCTGGGATCTTGATGGTGTGAGATAGCCCTTCTGGGCCTCTAGTTCCACTTCATTAAACTTGCATGATGTGACCCTTATGAGCCTTTCAGAAGTATTCAGGGACTAAATAACAAGGTCAGACCTTTTACCAAGGGAATTTCAGATTCTAGCCACAAAACCATTCCATGTGTCTCTTCCTGCTCTGCCTGTCGACATGTGGCCTCATGGTGTTCTTTGCCTCTGATGGCTGTTTCTCTCCCTCCCTCCTTCCCCTCTGCAGACATGCCTTGAATTGGAACGCTACCTACAGACGGAGCCTAGGAGGATCTCGGAGACCTTCGGTGAGGACTTGGACTGTTTCCTCCATGCTTCTCCTCCCCCATGCATTGAGGAGAGCTTCCGGCGCTTGGACCCACTGCTGCTCCCTGTGGAAGCCACCATCTGCGAGAAGAGCTCGGCAGTGGACATTCTTCTCTCTCGGGACAAGTTACTATCTGAGACCTGCCTCAGCCTCCAGCCAACCAGCTCTTCTCTAGACAGCTACACAGCCGTCAACCAGGCCCAGCTCAACGCAGTGACCTCATTAACGCCCCCATCGTCCCCTGAGCTCAGCCGCCATCTGGTCAAAACCTCACAGACTCTCTCAGCCGTGGATGGCACGGTGACGTTGAAACTGGTGGCCAAGAAGGCTGCACTCGGCTCGGTCAAGGTGGGAGGGGTGGCCACGGCAGCGGCGGCCGTGGCGGCAGCTGGGACAGTTAAGAGCGGACAGAGCGACAGTGAGCAAGGAGGGGTGGGGGCCGAGGCATGCCCCGAAAACAAGAAGAGGGTTCACCGCTGTCAGTTTAACGGGTGCCGGAAAGTTTATACAAAAAGCTCCCACCTAAAGGCCCACCAGAGGACTCACACAGGTAGTGGTACAAGTTGGCCGCACGTGGTTTCTTCTTCTTCTCCTTCCTCCCTTAGGCTCGCGGTGGGAAGGGCTCCCGTGTCCCCAGGAGTGGCATCATGCTGACTCAAAGGTGGCAGCCACACGGGAGGGCCGGGGCGGGGCAGTAGAGTGCCGCACGTGTGACCTTGAGCTCTGCAGATGTCCCCGGCACAGGCCGTGGGCTTGTCGCTCGCTGGCTGTGCGATCCTTTCGGAGGCAAGGCCAACCACAGGCTAGAATCACACAGTTCCAAGGAGGCCTGAATGAGGCTCTGGAAGTGTGACTCACAGCCATACACTGTACACGCGCTTGTCACCTCCCTGACACTTTTCATTGTTTTACGAGTGTAGCTCTGTGGTTTTGAGCAACACTGGAATCTGAGGAGGCACATTTGAAAGAACTCACAGTTAAACAAGGTAGTCGGGGTGTCCCTATTCACTCTTTTCCCAGCATCCCTGATTTTTCATCAAAGTCACCAACAGCAGGAGGGTTTCAGAGTTCATTAGATGTGATCATTCTATAATTAATTGGCATCTCCTCTTTTGCATTGTTCTCTGGCGCGTGCTTTATGGAGAGATGGCAGAATTGCTTTTTAATGAGCTTGTTACTGAGAAGTTGCTAAAGTGATTACATTGCTATGTGTGTGGGAAGGGCGAGTGGTAACCGACGGGGACTGTATATTTTACTCAAGACTTCTGCGGTGATTCCCAGGAATCATATTGATCTTTGGAGCAATGGGATTATTTGGAAGAGTGGGGTTTATAGAGAAAAGAGTGAGATTGGCATTTTCCTTGAAACTGGTCTTTGTTCTGTGCTTTGAGGTACAAGCTTAGGGCTGGTGTTTCTTCTTGGTGTTAGCATCCTAGGAGAAATTACCGTCATTGGTGGTTTTTAAACGAGTCCTGGCTTTGTTGCCTGAATGGTTTTGCATACTGCTTGCACAGTATAGCTGAATTAGGGAAAACTCTGAAAGTATAAGCAGCAGAGTAGGAGTGCAGTCCAGGAGAAATGGGTGATTGGATTTGAGCCAGGAGAAGTGGCTGGTGGGAGTTGGTTTTGGTCTTGAGGCTCATCTTCCTGGTGCTCTGTGGTGAGTTTCTGTCTGGGCTAAGCAAGGAAATGTGCAGTGCAAAACTCATCGGCTGGAAAATCAGAAAAACCTGGGTTCTGGTTCTGACTCTGCCACTGACTCGCTCTGTGACCTTGAGAGTGTCCCTTTACCTTACTGGGCCTCATTTTCCATATCCATCAAACAGACTGACTTAAGGTCCCTTTCAGCTCTAATGGTCTGGGGTGTGGGAGCATGAAATACTTTGTGTGATACAGAAGCACTTTCCTAAAGTAAGATTCATAATATGTGTCTAGAAGAAATCACCATTTTGAACCTCAGAGTCAGTCCCATGCATGGGAGGACGAGAACACACTGCTTTCTTGCTACACAGGACTTAGGCAGATACTCCAATTCTGCACTTAACTTCCTATGTAGCTGTTGCTTGGTTCATGGGAAGGTCTCCTAACATGACTTTTGAACCCTGTGGCTCAAGTGCAGAGTCCCAGTTAGGGTTTCCCAAGAGTCTGAGTGCTCCACCCCACAGACACCAAGGCTAAGACTTCCTGCTCAAGTCAGCTTTTTTTTTTCCTTTCTGATATTGTCCTGAAGGTCATTTTTTATTTATATTTCTTTCTTTCTCAAGTCAATGAGTAAAGTCATGACAAGACATTGCAGTGCTCCCAGGCTTTGATGGTGACTCACTTCCCGTTCTCCCCAGGAAACCAGAGAAAGCGGAATGGAGCAAGAATGTTGAGCTTTGTTGGGGGCGTGGAAGTCATGATTATGGACACATTTCTGAATTACTGACATGAAGACAGGCTACATCCTGTCTAGTAGGAAGACTGGACAGCTCTGGGGAAGCAAGATTCTTTTTTTTTAAGGGGGAGTCCAGAGCATTTTTCTTCTTTTTCCTATCCCCTTCTCCCAACTGATGTGTCAGAAGGAGACCTCTTTAGGAGTGATGCCTTATTTGGTGCTTTGTTTTTTGGGCATGGTCTACTCAGAGTGATTATCAAGGTGGAGCTCATTATGTTCCCCAGCACCTGCAACCACTTGCCTTATGGTGGACTGATGTGGAAAGACTCCTCCCCATGGGGAATTTACTCAAGGAGGCACCCTGCAGTATTGAAAGGCAGTGTTGCAGAGTGGTTGAGAGTGGGGGCTTTGTAGTAGGTGGACTTGGGTCTGAGTTCTGGCTCTACTCCTTCTTAGATTTGTGACCTGGTTAAGTGATTTATCTTCCCTGAGTCTCAGCTTAGTCATTTGTAAAATATAGGGATAATTTTATCTATATCCTAGATTGTTTTGAAGACTAAATGAATTAATATATGTAAAATACTTGGCAGATTGTAAGAGCTCATCGAAGATAGTAGTGGAGTTGGTTTGTAGTTATTAGAATAGATATTGATATTGATTAGTGATGACTGTGTGAAAAAACAGCTCTATGTAAGCTAGAAATAAGGCAGTTAGCCAAAGTTAAATACCCTCAAAAAGCGAGAAGCTTTTTCCTCACTCTTTGTGGGGGTTATGATGCTCAGGGACACCAGTTGTGGAGAGTGCGTCTGGATGTGCAGGCATTGGCTTATTGAAGGTGGCAGCACTGTAGAGCTTGGCTTTCCTAAGACAATACAGAAAGCAGTCACCTTGCATCCTCCAGAAGCATTTTGCCTGTAAAACCTTGCTCAGAGATAAGGATGGAAGGAAAATTTGGTGCTATAAGAAAGAGAAGCAGGAGGGGAACTAGAGGTGAGGATGGAGGATGGGGAGAGGGAATATGAATTAATTTGGATTAAATGGATGAAAATCAGAAGTATTTATTTGGAATTGGTGTGAATGGGGCACATGGGGAACTGAAAACAAAGGTGATAATTTATGTGGTGTGGATGAACTAAGAATAATGAAAAAAGCATGAAGGATGGAATCAAATTGAGTGTAAACATATAAAGGCAATGGACTAGTAAAAGCTTGAGGGCAAAGGTATATGGCGATGGGAATTCTGGTTGGGGGAGTGGCTAATATAAGTGAGTGGAGGGGCAGAGCTGCCCACCAAATGTTGAAATGGAGTTTAAAAAATGGGCTCTGGTTGGATCCAGGCAAGTTATTTTAACACTGGGCTCACTTTAATTCAGTGGAAATATTTCTTTATCTTTCAGTTGGGGGAGTGTTTGGGGACAGGAAAAAAAAAGAAGAAGAAGATGAGAAAACCATCGGGTAAAAAGAGGGAAAATATTGGCATTCTTTTCTCTAGAGTCATATATATGCTCTATCTCTTCTATATGGTAATATGTTGAAAAGGAGACACAGTTGCAAAAATGAAATAAAATAAAATGTGTGGGTCTCCCTCTATGCATAAGAAAGACAATACATTCTTGGTAACATGGATTTGCTTGCACTGAAGAATTTTTAAAATGTTATTCATTTAATCTTTATATAGACAGAATTTACTGAGCTGGAAAAGATATGCCTTTTTTTTTTTTTCCTCCTTCTGTGGCTGTTCTTTTGAGGATGCTGAATCCTTCAAACTTTTTGCCCTGGAGGATGTTAGGCAATGAGGTGATTTTTTTTTTTTTTTTTAAGGTAGCAGATGTTCAAGTTGGTAGCTAGGGCACAGATACTGTTTGCCCAAGGAGGTGAAGTTGGGGATGGGGGAACCGAGGGAGGGGGGAGATGAGGCAGGGACTGGGACAAAGGGAATATTGTGAAGCCGCAAGATCTTAGTGAAAGGAAGCATAGAAAAATGGACATATGGTTTATTCATTGCGAAGAGCACTTAGTGCTGGCATGTGCGTAAAAATGTCCTTTAGCAGCCAAACCATTACAGACCTTTCTCTCCCACTCTGTTTTCTGGTCTTTGTGTAACATTATTTTTCTTGCCCAATAATTCAATCATTATGATCACAGGTTTATTCATCTTCTTGGAGTCAGCTAAATAATCCTTATATTTTGATACAAAGGAAATCTTCACTTTCAATTAAAAAAATCACTTTACCATGCTTGTGTTCAGCAAAAGTCAATTTATTGAAATGTTAGTAGTTTCTACATAAAAAGAGAAAGAAAGAAGTGTTTTCTACATTTCTTCTTGATCACTTCTAAGGAAGAAAAAAAGCCTGTGACTGAAATGGCACTTTGTATTAATTGAGCCGACTTTTCTAATATGGAAATTCATATAAAAGCATGTCCACATTTATACTTTTCAGAGTGAGTCGTGTTGATAAAGTCAGGACAAAGGCCAGGAATGAAATCTTTGGTAGTTGGTCACTAAGGAGGGAGAAAAGAGGCCATGTTTTCACATGTCCTACTTGGAGGAGTCTTTCTATGGACGGGGGTTGTTTTAGCGTAATCCATGGGTGTGGTTAAGGACATTCTGGATTTTGCATCAATGAATGTAAAGGGATGTTTTTTAGGTGGAAAGATTACACAAGTGTGCAATTTGCTTAACAGTTTATGTCTGCTGTGGGACAGGTCTTGAGGTGGCACCATTTTTAAGTTTAACTCAGATTTAGGGAAATAGTTTGTTTTCAAATGAAAAGGTAGCTAAAAATATAAATAAAAAGATGAGTGTCATGTTTAAAAGGCAAGTAGAAGTGTTTATTTTATACACATAATGAAAGTTCTTTAAAGTTTGAAATATAATTTATTTATTCAACAAAGATAAAGCAGTTGCTACGTGCTAGGCATTGTTCTAAGTCTTTTACAAGTATTAACCTTTTTAATCTAATGACGTAGGTAGTATTCTTATTTTATAGTTATGAAGGAATGAGGCCCAGAGAGGTCAATAACTTGCCCAATGTCACACAGCTCCTAGGTGGCTGGGCCAGGACTCAAACCAAACAGTATTGCTCAAGTCTGAGCTCTTAACTTCTATGCTAACGAACAAGGGGAGAAGAAATCAAGTAGATATTCTCTTAATAACTCATTATTAAGAGGAA